GGAAAGCATCTCTTTCGCAAGAGTTTTTGGAATCAGAATTTGGAAACATTCTAATTTGAAATGCAATCGCATGAGAGAGACAGAGAGATATTTGCTGTCGAAGAGGTTTTAAAATTTTAATAATTGAAAAAAATAAAAATGACACGACGACACCATTTTACTTTGGTACAAATTACTCTCTTATTTTTCGTTTGCAACTTGAACAGTACGAATAATGATAACAATACAAACTGTATTAAAAATGCTAATTTATTTTTAAGAAAAATAAGTTATTTTGTAAGGTTTATTTTCTATTTAAACATTCACTTCCTAACCATGCTGAAAGGTTAATTACTTATATGCAAAACTGAAGTGTTTAGAAGAGATTCTGACAGTTATACAACAAATTTATGAAGATTGATTATATCAATTAAACAAGGTATTTGTGAATTATGTACTAGTTATCTTTTCGTGGAGAGAATATTTTGCTATATGCAACTCTCACTTGATTGCTATCGTTTGGTTTTAAATTTTTCAGGTTAATAGGGATTGTGTCTTCATGACTGGTGACTTCAAGGTCTTCAAGAGCGAAGAGGAAAAAATTCAAAAATGGGATCAAGAGAACGCAATCAGTAATACTGCGGTATAAAAATGGGGATCGTTTTTTGTTTCAAAACAAAAAATGGGGATTGTTTCTCGGAGTGAAAGTTGTGCAACAAATTACGTTGTATTTGTTTGTTCGAATAAGATGGAATGCGTGTTCAGAAAACTATGCTTTTTCAAGCAAGGAGTGACCGTCTTGGAGATGAACTTTCTAGTCCTGTCAATGAAGTTTCCAGTCTTGGCAATGAATGTTGGGCATGGGTTTTTAATATAGCCATTTTTAAAAGCCCATCTCTGAGCTCGGCCCAGTGTTGTGGAGATCCGGCGAGCTCGGTCCAGCGGCTTGAAGATCGGGCGAGCTCGGCCCAGAGACTTGAAGATTAGCGAGCTCGGCCCAGCAATGCATAATTTAAGCCCAAGCAAGGCCCAGCCGCCTCTTGAAGAGATGACATCAGCACAAGTACCAAGAAAACTCTAGTACTTAATTCCCCTCATTTTAGTATAAATAGGGGTCCCCATCCCATGAATTATGGCATCACTTTTCCACCTTTGGGCAAGTACAAGGGAATTTGAGAGCTAAGCTTTCAGTACTCTAACACCAAAAGGGAAAGAACCTTCTGGCCGACCATTTCGCCCAGAAAAGTACAAGTTGTTCGTCGAAGGCGGCAGAAAACTGTTCGTACGTATCATTTGTTCCATCCGACCTCAACATTCAGGTTCCGACCTCCGAATCCGCCGATCTCGTTACTCAGTTACCCAGTTACTTCAGTTTTAGATCTCTAACGCCCGATCTCGCTTTCAGTTACAGGTTCCGACCTTAAAACGACCGATCTCTCTGTGAAGGATATCATTCAAGACACTCAGATCCACAGACAAGGTTCGTCAGTCCGACCTAAGCTTCCGAGCTCAAGACGCATTCCTTTTCTAGCACTCTCGTTTTACATTGTAGTCCGTTTCCAAGTTAATATCAATAAATGAGAATTTCCGATCCCATTACTGTCTATAAATTTATTGTTGAACTCATGGATCAACAATGAAGAAGAAGAGTATCTGGAGGTACGCACCACCTGGATTCTCCTTTTTTCTAAAATGACGTGGATGGTTGTGAGGTTTTGCTTACACACTGTTCATTTAAGCTTTAGTGTGTTTGATGGTTATTTGGTTTTCTCATGTATGCTTTGATGGCCGGCTAAAAAAAGGTTGCCAGAATATTACGCACGTGATTTTTGAACATCTAAATATGTTTTCTTGACACAAACTTAGATTCTGTTTTGTACAGCTTCTTCTCATTGTTATGCAGTCAATCTGATGTTATTGCAACTCAAAGTTGCTTGCCTGGTAACAGAGAGGTGGACGAAACTGTAGCTTCCTATTTGGTTCAGCAGATTCACACCTTGATTTGGGAATTAACTGACGTCAACAATGCATTCAACAAAGTTAGTTTAGAAAACCATAGGCTTCGAGAACAGGTTATCATAAATTTGATAAATATTGTTTATAGAAAAACTTCCATATCTTTTTCATTTGACTTTTTTTTTTGTTTCTAGGTTCTTCTTCTAGGTAGGTTGCCTGATTAATTCTTTGATTCACCACTACCAGGGCACAAGTTGATAGAGAAGTTACGAGATGGAACCAAAAAGATAGTCGCTCCAAAAGGAGCGATCACAGGAATAGGAATCGGAGTCCTCATGGGCAGCCTGGCTGCTATAGCAGCGTACATAGTGACTCATGCAAACGGGCATGTGAAAGTTACCCCTATCTCTAGATTTGCCAACTTGCTTGGACTCATCATAGGGACCATAATCAATAACATTATTACACATATATCGGTTATACATATATCGGCGGTAAGGATATTTTTATACAACTATCATTCACACGTTTGTAGGTTCTAATTATTTGATCTAATTTTTATGCAATTATCAATTACACGTGTGTAGCTTATAATTATTTGATCTGATTTGCAGACCAAAAATGCAAAATTTTGGCCTACCATAAGTCAATCAATCACCTATGTCCCTTGGGTATTCATTGGAGATCTAGTCCGCATATTGGCGAGAGGTTTCATCCACAATTGGTGGACAAGCCTCATCGTGACAGCAGTTGCCACGTCAGTATTTCAGATTGGTTTTGCAAGCAATTAGAAGAAGAACCATTTGAAAGAGAGGCTGCATCACCTAATTTTAAACATTTGGTTGCAGATCACATTTTTGATATACCTAAAATAATTACCACTACATATATTTGACAAAACTAGTTTTTTAAGTGTACCTTTTGTCTATGACGACATTGTCTAATGGTTATCTTTTTATGCTTGGAACAATGGTCAGAAAATACGCATTACAAAAGAAATTGGAAAAGTCTCTAACGCCATTGTCTATTCTCTTTCATGTAAGGACCCATTTGAATTTTTATTTGTTTTAGAATTGTTTTTATGTAGGTAGCCTAAATATCTAAGATGATAATAGATAAGTTTCTCAATAAGATCAAGAAAGTTATAACCCCTAAAAGGAGGATTACCAAAGTTTAGCTTGGAGTGCTTGTTTCCAAGCTTTAATATGCCACTAAACAAAACTAGTAAAAACTAAAATTTGATTCAAAAGTAAATGCTTTGCAACTGTGATTCCAACTGATAAAGCAGTGAGTAAGAATTGATATCTTTAAATTGGAAAATTTAATAAGTGTACGAAATGCGCGCAAGACAGTTATTCAAAACATTATATGGAGAAAGATAATGTAGCGCAGGACAACTATTCAAAACATTACATGGAGAAAGATAATGTAAGCAATAAACTCCATGAAGTACAATTCTAATCTATGTTAGAGTATATTGATTAATTTGGAACGAGAAGACATTAGCAAAACATTTAACTCGAGAAAATTGATTGGTAAAGAAAATACTAAAAATGAAAAATTTGCTAACACAATCGAACTCATAAGGTTATGATTATGCAAGAACAATTTTGTATATGGAGAGGAAAGCGATTTGGCCAAAGTTTCAGACGATTGCTGATTTCCAAGGCAATGATCTCATATTGATTCTAAAAGTTATGTTCTTTTTATAGGATTTTAAATGCTTTATTTTATTTTTCATTCTTATTATTGTTTGTTAGTCAATTAATTGCTTCGATTCCACTGGTATTATTTTGTTGCATTTTCCAATTCTAAAAATTTTAGCCATCAGCTTCAATGAAACTCTTTTAATTAACATGGAAACTATTGAAAATGGCATTTACAGAGAAAATAGCATTTAGAGAAACACTTGTTGGCCAAGGTGTTATATAGACATAGAGTAGGAGACGAATGGTAATTTGGAGAGAGAAGAATATTGGGTACTGGGAAACAGGTTGGGAATGTCGAAGAAAACGTAAGACTCACATAGAAACAGTGAGATATTTACCGGAAATTCGCAGGCATATATTCTGTCCGTTTCAATTGCATTTTTTTTCCTCTCTCTCATGATAGTAGGACGAAGAAAACGAGATATCGCAAAAGAATACTACGATCGAGAATTAGAGTAGTACTTGACTTGGGAGTCCAAAAATATCTTAGGCACACATATTTACTATTATGCCATATTCTTCAATTATATTTACGCTTCAGTTCTTCGTTGTAACTTGTAAAAGAGAGTGATTTTGTTTGACCTTCTGATACAAGAAGAATTATTTGTGTATGGAAGTGTTGTAGTGTTGCAAAAAGCTCAGTGTTAGAACTGTGAAGGAGCTTTGAGGCTAATGCGAAGGCTTTATGTAATAATAAAAGAATACGGTAACGGGCTAGAGGGTATATTTGATGATGTGTTGAGATTATTGGTCTGGTTGGATGTTAATAAATAGTAGGAGTTTGGAGGCAGAATTAAAACAGAGGTTTAAGAAATTTATGGGACTTGTTGTCTTATGCTAGAATTGCTCTTCCTTGAGTTTGTTGGATTGGATGCAATACATATGGTAAGGAGCTGCTGGTTGTAGACCAAAGGATGCAGACACTTGTTTTCAATCCAGTGAAAACGTAACCTCGATCTCTACGCATCCGAGTATTGGTATTGTTGTAACTTGGAGAATGGGCTTAGCAGATGAATTCTGAATTTTAAGCTACCTTTAAGCTGATTGGAAAAATCCGATTGAGTGGGTAAAGATTCACTTTGGTCAAGGACCAGAGCCAAAAGAAGGCTAAAGAGTTGGTACTCTACAATGAATGATCATCTAAGAAAAGAGAGTTGGTTCTCTCAAATTCACCAAA